ATCACAGTCCTGAATAAAAAGAGAATGTGTACCAAAAGCAGTTAGCTTTAGAATGCATCTTTTAAGTGTCGAAGAAATAAAAATCCCTTATATTATTCAAACGCCAAGATAAAAACTGAATCATTCTAACAACCCCATATTATATGTCCTTTTCCAGGGGTAATAAAAGATATTTCACTCATATGGTTTAACTACATTTACATCTGTATTAGTAGATTCAACTGGCTCTGTCAACCCAATGGGACAATATTAATAATAACAATAATAATAAGAAAAGCAGCTAGTTTATTAAGCACTTCATGTCTGCCCATCAATGTTCTAAGCACTTCACATGTATGAGTTCATATAATTCTCACAACAGAGCTTCGAGGTAGGTGCTACCATCACTGCAGTTAGTTTGATTCCAAGTGTTTACGTATTCTAATTACTCACTAAGACCAAATTATCCTTGTTCAACAACTATGTAAACAATTCACCAACATCCAAACCCTCCTCTTTCCTGCCTCTCAGCAATATAAGTAAAGGCCTAAGAACAGTCTATTGGTGTAGCCATACAAGTTCAATAAATGCATCACTGCTAATATGTTCGTTTTTAATGCTGTTCAAACATTCACATGGAAACAGCTCTAGCGTAAATATCCCCGAACAAATGGCTGTATATTATCCAGGAGGGAGCAGTTGGACCGCCAGACTGGGGAAGTACTAAGCCATCTGGCTCCGGCAATCTCTCCAAAACCATCAGCTTTGTTTTCACCCCCAGACTCCAAACAACACATTTTCCACTGTGATGAGTTTACATTTTCCCAAACACAGGTCCTGATCATGCATAAAAATTCCAAACTTCTTCATTCCTCTATGTGCAAGGAAATTCAAATCACCTGCATTTCTGGCGTTACCAAAGGAGAAAGAAAGCTGCTGAAATATGGCTCCTGACTATGATCTTGCCCTGTCCTTTTTTTAGTTGTTCGTTTCCCCAAATGTATGAAAGAACCTCTCTACTGGCCGAGTGAATTCCTTTGGAACTTATTGATAGACGAAAAATGTGTTTATCTACCAATGAAGAACCATGAACTGAAAGGGTTGTTAATCAAATCTACGGAGCTGTGGCAGGATGTAATGAAACAATCAATAGGGAAAAATGCACTTGCATCAATAACTCAAAGTACCGGGAACATCAAAACAAATATATAAAGATTAGTTGGGAAGAGAAATATGACAGCATTTATGATTATTGTGCCTCAAATCTCCCACGGGGCAAGGACCTTTCAGAGTCCCCTCACCATGCCACCTACCTTTGAATCCTATACATGCAAGGATTATGTGGCTATTAGTTTCCCCTGTCCAGAGGAGGGGGAAAAAAAAGAAAGCTTTTGTTGGGGGACAAGCAGTATTCTGTTTAAGATAACTTTATGGAATTTGGTACCTTTCTTCAAATTATAAAAATGTTACTTTTTAAAAGCAAGATGTTAGGAGAGAAGGTAAATTAAAGGCTATTTAAAGATAAATAACTCAGTGAAGCAATCACAGAAGGTAATCATATTTCAAATGCTACATGAAAATCTGAAATGGGGCACATTAGACCTCAGACCTCCCCCACCAGGTTCATTTGAGCTTCTGCAGGAGATGCTGTTTCTGGATGCAGCAGCCATGAACTTCTGGATTCTACAGGCCTTTTTGCATGCTCACTAATGGAATACCAAAAACAGCAATGACACAAAAACAACCTATTTTTAGTGCAGCTAAACTTGGTTTTGAACAACCCTTCCCAAAAGCAAGCCTCTTATTTTCTAGTTGGTGGATGAATTTTTAAAATATCATTATAGCCTTTGTGGTTTATAAAAGACATTGAGGGATAAGGGGACTCACATCCTTACACATTCATTTCTAACGGAGCTTCATCTTTCTGGTAGAGTCCAAAATTAAGAGTCATTACCCAAAACGGTGTAATGAGACACTTTGAAAAGGTGTGAAACACTGTGTCATACCAATACATCTTGGTTGAGTACATATCTGTTTGATCTCAATGATTCTAACTCCACCCAAGATCAGAAACATTCTATGAAAATATGGAGTACACAGCTAGTTTTGGATTTTGCTTGCCAAAGATTCCCTTTGAGTTTTAACCCCATCTTGTGAGTCAAAGACAGGACATCACACACATAAAGCGGCACCTTTGATCTGAAAAAAATGTTCTGATAAACAAGCAGCTAAGGAAAGACTTGAACTGTAGCTTCATATTCCCTTCAAAATGCATGATGTTATTAGAACTCATCCCATCACTAAAATTATTCCAGTCTACATTCTAAGTATCAAAATCCTGCTTCCATCTAGAAGAATTTTAGGGGGGGGGGGTTGGGTGAGGTGTAACCATTTAATTAGTCAGCTAATATCAAGACTTACTTCTGATGAAAGGGGTCACTGTACATTTAACTAAAATCAAAAATTTAAGAAGTTTTTAATCAGACTTGGTAGTTAATTATCTTAGAATAATTCAAGCTAAATGAGAATCCACTGTTTTACTCATCAGAACTAAAATGTAATAATTATGTCACAGCTAAGGAAAGTCACGCTTCTTCAAACTGACGTGCCTTTTAAAGCCTATTGTGTTAACTGCGTACACAAGAGGCTAACCTACTTCCCAAACTCTTACAGCACATAATCAACCCACAGGCAACCGGAGAATGGACAAGGGATGCCTTTCAAAGTGAAAGCTACACAGAAGGCATCAGACAATTATTCTGAAAGCAAACAGGTGTGACTCCAAAAACTCCTTGATATTTTTAAAACTAAATTCAGAGAATTTTTTTTAAACCTTTTTCAGGTCACTCTCCACCAAAATAAAGAACAGCATACATTGATAATCTTAACTTCCAGGGAGATGTCCCATGATGGCAAATGACTTTCTCATACCTGCTATTATTAAAAATAAACTGTACCTTTCCTGGTTGCCCCCCCCCAACACACACACACAACTGACTTCATGATATCAAGAGGTCAAAGAATGCCTTAAGCTGTAGTTTTTCTTAATCACCCTGCCTTTGTTAGTAAAATGATATTTGATGTAATACTTTCTAAAAATCATAAAAATGCTTTTATAAAAATATAAAAGATCACTTCCCCACCACATGAAAGTGTGTAAAGTCTCTTCAGCTCATAATGAGAAAAATCAATTTCTGTGGGTGCTTTTTTGTGTCAGGGGTCTAAAATAAAGTTTTGAGAGGAGTTAATCACTTCAAACGTGTCCTTATTTTGTGCTCTTTACAATTGTTCCTTTCAGAGTGTTGTCTGTAATTTAGTATTTAAGTGGTCGATGTTGCACAAGCAGGCAGGCCTTCCATACTAGTTTGTGGGGATGTTTTATCTTCCAAATAGTAAATTCTAATAAATGCTTATGGAATATGTGTTAGGGTTCATGATTCCCCCCTACTTCCCCCTCCCATCTTTTCTTGCTGTGATGAGAATGTCAGGGAAGGCTATCGAGGGTATCAGAGACAATTTTTAAAAACAAAACTCCACTGAAGACCTTTTTGTTTTGATATCATGAAAAAAGTTACTGAAATCAAGCTTTTGTGTTTCTGCCTAACAGGAAAAAAATTTTTAACAAAATACAACATGTCCAATTGAACGGGAATTATCATATATAATAATCAAAACCAATTTTACAAAAGACCAAAACTAAAAGTATAAAATGTGGATTTACCCTGAACTATCAACTAAGAAATAAATAGACCTTCACAAAAGTCAAATTTTTAGGCAAATACTTGAAATAGATTTCAATAAACACTTACTATTTTAAAAATACATTTCTTACCCTCATTTTTCTACTTGGTTCACAATGAACTATGAGAGTAATAATTAAAATTAACTATTATTAAATTCTTCCTTGCTGATTTTAAGACTTCCAACAGCTTAATGATGTGCACTTTGAGCATGTTTAAGCCACAGCTTACCTAAAAACAAATTTTAAATATGCATGTATTTTCTAATCTGAAGCCTTCCCAACCAGTGTCAATGAAAAATCACATCCCTTATTTTAAAAGAAAAATGTTTAAGTCACAATCAAGCAAATAAGTTTTAACCCTCTTGCTAAATTGGTAGTTGGTATACAATGCATAACTTTTCTCTTTGTTCTGATTCCTTTCCCTCCATCCAATAAAGTTGTCTTCTTTTTTCTAAGTCCTCCAACTACCTAACCAGCTACTTAATTCTGAAACTAAACTTTTTTTCCTAAAATTAAAAAGAAAAAAGCTCTTGCGCCTCATTAAAATGTCAGGCCTCTTTTCTGATTGGGCTCATAATTGTATCTTTTAAGCCGTAACTCAAACTTAATGTACACTCCCTGACTCACGGGTGTTGGGGAGCTAAAGAAAAATGCCGTCTATGTACCTTTAAGACCACAAGCTCACTCACGCTGCCTGGCTTCCTGCCAAACTTGGAGGCAAAAGCAGGAAGATTTTTGCAAAATAGCCTCTAACAATTGTGGCTCCCTCTTCCAACACGACCACCACCACGACCACCTCCTTTTGAAACATCTGTGAAGTGGCTCATCTGTGCTCTCGGCCCTCTCACCATTCCTAGAGAAACTGCCTTTGCCCTCATCCACACCCCCTCCCGTCCGCCTCCCGAGGGAGGCCCAGGTGGTTTGAGTTTCACAAGTTCCTCCCACTCCACACTGGGGTCCCTGGGCACCTTCTGTGCCCCCTGAGGCTTCCCTGCCGGGTCAAAGAAAGTTGAGACCACATTCTCCCCACTCAGCACCCGGTAGCCTTAATGCACAAGGTCCGAGTTTCCCTTGGAAAGAGCCGTCGAGCCATTTGCCGCGTGCTCAAGTGCATGTTCGGATCAGCCCTTGGAAACCTGACCTAAGGGCCCCGGCCAGCGGTAGGCCCTGGTGTTCAGAGTTCGAGTCCCAGCCCCCTGCTATGGAGCAGCCACCTTCTAGACTCCCCTAAATTTTGCCTCCCTGGAGCACCCCTGCGGCGCGAAATGAAGAAACTTACTTGTTTTGTCATGGAGTCGATGAGGCGCACGTAGAAATCCTGTTCCGTCCTTATCCCTGGGGGAGCGAGGGAGGGAATAGGGGAACGAAGGAGAATTAAGTGAAAGGGGATCTGCGCGAAAACAAACAAACAAACAAACAAAGAATGGGGCTCCAAGGCTCAGGGAATTCCAACTGCCCCGGAGCAGCACAGACAGGACCCCCTCCCGATCCCCAGGATACAGACCAGGGCCTCGGGCCTAGCCCTAGCGGCCTGGCAAGCCGGCCCCCCAAGCACTGCAGCGGGGAATGGGGCTGCGCCCACCTGGCTCCTCTCGCTTCCCACGGCGGAAGCCCCTGCGCACACTCTCCCGGAGCCTTCAGGAACAGATCTCTCTAGCCCCCCTGAGACTTTGGGCCTGGAGACCGGGCTAAGGGGAGGGAATGGGCCTTAAAGGGGGAGGAGGGGAAAGCGGCCCAACAACAGTAGACGAACTACACCTGGCCCCAGGTAAGCACAGGCCCAACACCGCAGTCCACGGGCCAGTCAAGGACTCCTCAGGTGAAACCGCCTCAGGCGAAACTCAGGTGAGGCCAGTATATACCGACGATGGTGGACAACAACTGAGTTGTGCTGGGGCTCTTGTCCACCTGGAGCTCTCCGCGGCCCCTGCCCTCACCCGGAGCCCCCCCGGGGTGCTGGCGCGGACCGACGGGAGCCTCACCATTGCTGTAGAGGAGCTGCAGCCGGTAGTGAATCCCGTTATTGGTCTTTTCGCTGTTGGCTTCCTGGGTTGCATGAGGATGCAAAGACACAAGAGACGCAGGAGAGAGGTCGGCGTGAGATCGTGGACCGACTTCGAGGCAACTTTCCCATCTGGGCCCCTAGCCGGGGAGCCAGACAGGCCCGAGAGTGGCAGAAATTGCGGCCAACTGTGATCCCTCTGCCGCCCCCCCCCCAACCAACCCGACCCTTACTGCTCCCTCTTCACTTCCAGAAAATTCTGTGGGGCGCGTGCAGGCGATCCCCATCCCCCGGGGGCTCGGGCCTGGGCCCTGAGCAGGGGCAGGAGCCGAGCTTGGTCGCAGGGTCGAGGGCGGGTTCAGCCTGAACGCCCTTGACTCTGGAGTGTGAAGCCCGGCTCGACTCTATCCAGCTCTGCGGGCTCCGTGCAAACTTTTCTGGAGCAGAACCTCATGGACAAGGAGCCGGGGTTCGCCCAGGACGGGAAGTGGCTTGGGGGACCCCGCGCAGGAATGTGTTACGCATGCTTTGCACTGGCGGAGAAGCGCGCCTCCCGAAGCGCCTGGGCCTGCTCCCCTGCCGGGGGCGAGGGGCAGCAGCGTTGTGCCCACTTACTTTTTCTTTCTCCACGAACCCCACAAAGGCTGTCCTCTCGATCTCCACGGGCTGGCCCTGTCTGTCGTAGAGGGCCAGGACGAAGTGGAAGAAGTTGGATTTCCTCAGATTGGAAGGCGGTTGCTTCTCAAAGTGAGCCCGGGCCAGACCCACCCCGCTGCGGCCAAAGACGCAGAGTTAGACGGCTTAACATTAACGGGACACGGACTCGCGACCCCTTGTCACCCCGTACGCACGCGCCTCTTCTACCCTCCAAACGCCCACTGGGCGCCCCCCACGCCATCTCCGGCGCCCCGGGCCCACCGGACGACGGAATGTGCGTGTTGTCGCGTGTCCTGTCCTCCACGCGGAGCACAGGGCGTGCCCCCCGAACTCGCAGAAGAGCTGTGAAAGTTCTGTTTGGGTATTGCGCAGGAGGTAAAATGCTGTGAGCGTTTACTCCGACCTGACGCGCGCTACGTGGGGAGAAAGGAAAGTGGCCCTGGAGGAGGCGAACCCGCGTTCGCGGAATAAAGCGCTTCATTGACAACTTAGAGGCAGGGGCATGGGAATTTGGTACCCGCTACCCCCTTGAATCTTCCGTCTCAGCTCTGTGGGTTGGTGAGAAGAGATGGGGAACATGCTCAGCTTCTTGCTGCTGCGACCATCCTCCAGGAAACCTCATGAGCCCCTGCCAGCCGCGGGTGCCCAGCCTCAGAAAGCCACATTCTCCAACACCCCCTCCACCCCACCCAACAAAGCATGTAGAGAAAAGGGATCTAAGGGTGGAACTCAGAGCTGTCAGGGGTGGTCGCTGTGGGAAAGGGAACTGAGGTGTTTTGTTTTGTTTTGTTTTGTTTTGTTTTGTTTTAAGATCTGTCCTGACAAACTTTCGCTGTTCTGCAGAAATCCACTCATTCCGAAATCCTAAGGACCCGGTCTGCGAGATGAGCGCTCCCACTCGGGACTAGTGGCTGGGCCGCCAGGGGCACAGGGCGGCGGTCACTGACAGCCGGACCTGCCCAGCTCAGGCGCACGCACTCACACGCACGTGTCATACACATACACACACACTTTCACTTCAAGCCCCGTTACCCAACTCACTCTCACTACCTACCACCCCCATTTTTATACTCCGTGGGGATGGAAACAGTGTTAGGGACACTTGTCCGCAGCCCAGAGAAAATGAGGATGATGTAATTAGTCATCTTCCTTCTTCCCCTTCCGCCCTCTCTGAGTCCGATAAGGCCTGGGGCCGCCAAATCTCCCACTCCTCCAAGCCCAGTTGGTGGCCTGGGTGTAGGGGGGAGCGCGGGGGAGGCCATTTCTCACTTGGGACCTGGAGTCCCCAGAAAAAGTGGTGAGGTTGTCCCGGAAAGTTCCCCTGGTCCATCTCTGAGGGCAGTGCCTGCCTGCAGGCAACAGTCTAGCATCCCAGGAGCTGGCAGTGGGAGAGGGGCTAGAATAGAAGGGGACCGTGCAGACAGAGGGTGAGGAAGACTCTTAGGAGGTGTCAGAATTAAAGTTGGGGGTTGCTGTTCTTCGAGGTGGACCAAGAAAAAACTGAAAGCTAAGAGAGAGAGGGAGGGAGAACCAGGTAGGAGAAATAAGAGAAGATCCTAGCGTGAAATGGAGAGAGAAAAGAGGGGGGAAATGGGGCAAAGAAAGGGGAAAGAAGAGGGAGGAGTGAGGGAAGAAGAGGAAAGAAAGAATGAAGAAAGGGAGGAAGGAAGAGAGAAGGAGGAGAGGGAAAAGAGAAAAGGTAATGAAGAAAGGGGAGAAAAGAAAGAAGAAAAGGAAGAGAGGAAGGGAGGAATGGAATGAAGAAGAAAAAGTTTTAAAAGAAGGAAAGAAAGAAAAAAAGGAGGAGGAAGGAAAGGATGGAAGGAAGGAAGGAGAAAGAAAAGGAAGGCAGGAAGAAGGAAAGAAAGAAAAGAAAAGAAAATAGAAAAGAAAAGAAGGAAGGGAGGGGAAAGGTCAGCCAGAAAAGAAAGAGCAGTCATAAAAACAGATATCTAACATCATGCTGGTGAGACGCCTCTCGCCTCTTCTGGCTTAAAACAAAATGAAAACAGTCAAAGACCAGGCAGGAGAGAGCGCCGGCAAAGCGTGGGCTCCTCGCCTGGAGCTCCCGGCCCTCCGGCGCAGGCGACTACGGCAGCGCAGCCCCGGAGCGCGGAGTCCCGGAGGCGAGCCGAGCGTAGTGGCGGACGGATGAGCGCGGCCAGGCCCCGCGGCGCCGCCGCCACCGCCTCCCCTCTCCTCTGCCGGCGACTCGCCTTCCCGGCCGCGGTCCCCGAGCGGTACCCACCTCTGCGCCGCCGTGTTGGCGTCCAGCACCCCGGCGCCCTGCATCCACGTCCGCACCGCGTTCATGCCGCTGCCCAGCGGCTCTTCCTTCATGCTGCTTCCACTCCGTTGGATGCTTTCCTGAATCCCAAACATGAAAACAACCTTTTCTTGTGGAAAATCTCCTCCCCCTTGAAAATATTTAAAAAAAAAAAAAAGGAAAGAAAAACGCCAGCCAGAGATTTTTTTTTTTTTTGAGACGATGAACTCGCGCTGGAAGATCAAGGCGGGCTAGAAAGCAAATTTTTTTTTAAAAATGTAAACCCTCGCTCAAAACTGAGCGATTACCCGAAAAAAAGACAGAGAAAAAAGAAGGGAAAATCCAACGAAAAGACCAAAATAAAAAAAAAAAATGAGATGTATGCTTGGCTGTTGGGGGTTGTTTGGTTGGTTAATTTTTGGTTTGGGTGCTTTTTTTTTCGCTTTTTTTTTTTTGCTTTTTTTTTTTTTTTTTTTGTAATGATCACAGGCCGGTGGAGGGCAGGAGGGGCTGGAGTTTCCTTTTGCAGAGGTACCCTTCACTTGAAGAAGCAGGAAGAAAAAAAAAAGCCCTGATGGCAATTTAAGAAACAATAGACTCAACTCGCGCTGCCGGCTTTGCTACTTCAAGTGTCATTTTCCACAACCAGGCAAGTTTTTTTCCTCTCTTTTTTTTTTCCTCCTTCTCTCCCAACCAAAGATGTTTCTTTCCTTCAGTGCGTGTAGATGAGGAGGACGCTGGTTGCCGTAGACAGATACACCAGAGAGGGAGATTGGGGTGGGGGGAAGGGGGGAGAAAGAGGGAGAGAGGAAGGGGGGAGGGAGAGAGAGAGAAGAGAAGGAGAGGAGAGGGAGAAAGAGAGGGGTGGACCCTGCTGGATGGAAATTCTGTTTTCTCCTTGCTAAAATAGAAGTGATTTGCAGGCTTTCCCTATGGAATCCAGTTTGACTCTCCCCAGAGCTAAACACAGGCACACTAACCCCAAAGGGAGGAGGCGGGACCGGCTCCTCGCAGACCCGCCCCTTCATTTGCATAACGTCATTCTTCCGCCTTGCTGCAGCCAATCGCAGCTCAGGAGCCTACTGGCTCGCAGTGCAGGGCCACGCTCCCTCATTAACATCAGTCTCCCGGCGGCTCCCGGGAGCCGGCCAAAGTTCCTCGTAAAGTGGCGAGCGAAGGATCGCTGCGCTCCTGCGTTGAGCTCGGGAGCAGCTGGGCTGAGCAGGGCAGACCCGGGCTGGAGAAGGGGGACAGAAGGAAGGGGAGGGAGATATTCTTCTTAAGGATTTGAGCTGGGATCCGCATCCTGGCCCTAGCGGTCTGTTTAGCATCCTCGCTGCACCCTGAGCCCGCTGGAGGCGCACAGGCTGCCCCTTCCCAGGGCGGATGCCGCGTCCTGCTCCGCTGTTCTGGGACGTCGGGGGCAAAAGTGAAGGAGACGGGAGATCCCGGGCAGAAAAAGCAGGATGCGCGTCCCAGGTGCCCACCTCTTCGCTTTGAGGAAGGGGTGGTGGGGTGGAAAATGGGTGCTGGAGGTTGGGGCTGGGAGCTCGCGGAGGGCACTGCCTTCACGCCGGGAGGGGAGTGGGGGACCCGGGCTCTGCCCCTAGTCTGGCCTCCAAAACGCTCTCACTTGGACCCTGGCCTTGAGACCGCAGGCGTTAGAGGCACTGTCCTCGAATGCTCGATTCTCTCCAGTAATCCGAGGATCTGTAAACGGTGGAACGAATGTTCTCCCTGCAGCTGTGTCACGATGCGTTTTAAAATCGACTCAGATTCGACCCCCAGCCCTTCAACCCCGCCCCAAAGTAGTCTTCCTTAGAGTAACTACCAAAGCAACAACGCCGCTTTTCATTAGTTGTTTATTTGGTGTAGGGTTTCTCTCACCCTCATTCTTTTTGTTGAAATGGAGGCGGGGGGGGGGGCGGCCTTGAAACCCTCCCCAACTTCAGCCCCTGCCGTGTGTCAAGACAGAGATGGAGGAAAGAAGGAAGGGAAGAAGAAATGGTCTCCTACCTCAGACCTTTGGCATTATATGCTTGTGGCTGGCAAAGGAAATAACTAGATGTTTCTAGGTAATGTGCCCCATCATTTTTTAGCAGGTTGTAACCTCTAATAAGCACATGGTGAACTTCTGTTTCATTGCCCTCAAAGGAACTCCCTGACTGCAGCCAAATCTGCTAAGGACTCCTTCGGGGAAATTCTTTGCCAGAAATCCAGGTCCCCGTTCTGCTGGCCTTGCTTGGCCCTATGATTTAGGAAGCTCATGAGGTCAGGGATGGAAAAGTACACATGCCCATGTTGGATGGAATGGAGACAGGCAAGAGTTATGCTTTGTCCTCTTGGCAGAGCAGGAAAGTGGGAGCCACTTCCTGATTCCCAAACTAGATGCTATTCCAGGCCTGTGGGTACAGGGCCACTGTCTCCATACACTGTTTTCTCTTACTCACAAAGCCTCCCAGCTCTCATATCATTTAATGTGAACTACTAACATGCAGTCACTTTCTCTCCCGGATACCATAACAATGCCATCTCTTCCAAGACACTCCTATAGAGATCTATCTGATCCATCATGATTCCCATAGCATCTGCCACAGTTCCTGGGACACAGTAGGTGCTCAAGAAGGATGTGTTGGTACAGAGAATTGAAGGATTGTAGGTTTGTGGGGAAGAGAAAGAGGAAAGAGGAAGTTGGACCTTCTCCATCTCTATAGAATTTAAATGCACAATTGAAACTGGGACTACTGAAAACTTCCCAAAACAATAAGCTTAACCTCAAGGCCCAAAGATCCCCAATGAGCCAGTCTCTTCCCCTGCGTGCTTTGAGGGGATCCTTCGAGGGAAAGGCATCAGGAAGCAGAGGCCAGTGTCCTATGATTGAGTCCCAGATAGCCCTGGCATGAGATCCAGGCCTCCCTCTCCTTAACTGCATGCGTCTCTATTTTACTCTGAGGTAACCAGTATTCAGGACTCCAAGTGGGGTCTGGTGAGGTACATACCCCAGTGACAGGGACTACACAATGCCAAAGGGAGGTGGCAAAGGCTCTAGGCAAAGGACAGACCCAGCCACTCCGAGGATCAGGATCAGTGTGAGGCACAAGAGATGGATTTCTGGGGAAGGAGGGGTCAAGGAGAATATAGTAGCAGTCCACAAATGACCTATTTGTTGAGGGGTCTAAAGCTGCCTGATTTAAAAGAGAAATTGGTCCAGAGAAAGAAGCTTTCAGCAGCCTGGTTCCTGCCCCAGAGCCAGTCATCTCCAAGAACTAAGTGAGAGGGAGTAATCTCCACATTGGCCAGGCCATAGAAGGAGGGAAAATAAAAGGGGGCAAGAATCTTTTGCTAAGACTAATGCCCTCTGTGTGCTGGCAGCAGATACCTCACCTGGGGTGGCAGGTGTACTTTATTTTAATCAAGCAGAGTGTATCCATAGCATTTCTTCTGGTGTCCTTGCTTGCTGTGAACCTGGCTTTCTCACCAAGTAAGAAATGGTTAAGTAAGAAGGAGACTAACGAGAAGGTAGAAAAGAGACAGAGGGATGAACCCAGGCCAGCAGAACCCCAGCTTTTGGCGAATTTCCTCTAGCGAATATTGAACTTATGGCTCCAATTTTAAACTTGGAAAAATCCCTTCAACACCTGTCAAGCCCTGATGTAAGGTGACCACCACGTCCAGAAGGCACAGCATGCGGGGGCGGGGGGGAAGGGTATAAAGTGTGTACTGACACTAGTTTCATCCTTTTTACATTGTATCACATCTCTGATGAAGACAGACAGGGTATGCACAGCTTTGCCCAGGCTGCTATATGTATAATATGACTTTAGGGTAGTTCGTAACAGTAATCCCCAACCCCACTCATCAGCCTAATCATATGGGAGGGTGAGATAGACTTGCAGATTTTCAGGCCTTACAGAGCAACATGGGTTTATATGTGGAAGGAGCAATTGGAAAGGCTTGGCGTTTTCCCCTGGAGTTCAGTCTCCAGCTGAGCTCAGAGTTTCTTCCGTGGTGGAAGTGAGCCGGCCCCAGCCCCTCCCCCTCAATTATTCGAAATCCTGGGCAGGGGTGCCCAGCCCTCGGGTCTCCCTGGCTGGAGGAAGCTCCGGCCAAGAAAGTAGGCCACTAACGAACTTCGAAACCTTCTCATTCTTGGCTATCCCATCCTTCTTAAGGCAGAGGGAAATCAAGTCCCTTTCCTGAAGGGCACCAGCCCACGCAGAAACTTACCGGGGTGGGTGCAGGTGGAAACGCACCAGCCCTCCAGAATAGCAGAGGCAAGGTAAATACAGCCGAGCTAGGATTGGCGGGGAGGTCCCGGGGAACGCGCGATCTTCTCTGCTCGTCTGCCCCCAGGAGGCCAGACTTGAGAGCTCTTACTTAGAAAATTCCCTCCATCTCCGTTTCCCGTAGGAAGTCGCATCCCCAGAAGGGGCCGCCTATCCCGGGAAATGTCCTCTTTCGTTTGCCGCTAGCCGGAGACCGCGGAGAGTGAGACCGGAGGAAAGACTCCCGCTTCAATGCCGAGAAGAACGCAAAGGGAAAGATGGGGAGGAGGGAGGCCAAAGGCGCAAAGTCCCTCTGCACGCAGCCTGCGCCGAAGGCTCCGACTGGCAGCCTGGAGTTGCGGCCACGGCTGGGCATTGGCCAAGGCGCTGCCCGCAGGAGGAGAGGGTTGGGAGTCAGCGGCAGCGGGGAAGCCTTGGGAAAGTGAGGCCTTGAATGCAACACAGTCCCACAGGGCGCCCCCCCCCCGCCGCCCGGGAGGCACCCAGACACCAGCGGGATGGCGGAGCGACAGGGTCCTGTGGCCCTCGGGCAAAACCCGGCCGCCACCCCTGCCCCCTCCAAGACCTCTCTACCCGCCGCCTTCCGGGAACTCATAGGAGTCCCAGGACAATATTGCACGGGAAATCTGTCTGTTCCTCCTCCTGGCTCTCAGCCATCTCTGGCAAGTGGCAAAGAAAAGGGAGGGTTTCCCCGACCTGATCTCGATTTTCTCGACCCTCGTCCCGCCAACGCTGCAGAGAAGTTTCCCTTTACTCGCCCTGTGTGACCGATACTTCCAGCCCCTGGGAGCGCACCTTTCCCTGTAGTACAGACCGGGAGACTGGGGCCCAGGAAAGGACAAATTTCCTGGTAGCTAAACGATAGAGAGCCGGCATACAATACCGTGGGGATCAGACTGGGACTTAGGAGCCCCTAAATCTGCCTAGGACGAGGGCTTGGGGCACGGGGTTCGAACAAACCTTTCCCGGAGCGTGCCTCTCGGGTTTCCCCTGGGCGGACCCCAGATAATAATAGATCTCATTTGTTGAAGGCTTTACGGGCATAAACTCACTGAGTTCCCAAAACAGACCAAGAAGGCAGGTAAGAACACTCCCCCTTTTTACAGGTGAGGAAGCTGACGCCCTATGTTTGAAATGAATCGACCTGTGCAGGACCACACTGCTAATAAAGTCGCTGCGCCGAAATTACTCCAGAGCCTGTGCCCTTCACCTTGGCTCCGAACCACTCAATCAGCGGTTGCGCCCATCTCCCGCATTCGCCCCGTGCCTGCCCCCCCCCCCCCCCAGCATTCATAGATCCCTTCAGGTCTCAAGTCCCTGGGTTTCCCGATGACAAAGGAGCTTGGGGGCAGCTGCCTCCTGAGGGCAGGCAGCAGACGGGAGAGAGGACGGGAGAGGGTCGTGCAAAGTCCTAATTAGAGGACTGGACGCTCATCCTTGCGATCAGACGTAGGCGCATGGCACTCCTGGCCTCCCGGGAAGAGGCTGCGTCAGCTCCAGCCCTGGCTGTGCCGCATTTTGCTTTGTGAACTCCAGCCATCCTTTTCTCCCACTCCTAGCTGAGGTCTTGGAGCTCCAGGCGCAGGCAAAGTCGCCTGACTGAAGTAGACTAAACACAAAGACTTCGCGGGGACGCCTGCGACGCCCGTCAGAGGGCAGAAACCTGGACATCTG